AGTAGTATCCTTGCCGAACCTTTACTTTTTGCCCCATATAAATAAGATTCTGGATCAGACTGTAATCACTCCGATCGACGTTACTAGATTTTAAAATTCTCATAAGCTTACTCTGTTGACTCTCAAAAGCTTTCTGCTAATCTATAAAACAGAAGCATATGTTCTCGTTGTCCGACATTATCCTCAATCCGCATGTGCTGCTCGATCTTATTTTTCAGTCATCTACTAGTATGGATTTTTGCCAGTACCTTTTCTGTGTGCAAAGCCAAAAAGTTAACTGCTCGTCCTGTGATCGTTGCACTTGTTCGCTTCGGGCTTTTTCTAAGGAGCTATCATAGTAACATTCAGAAAGTCCTTTGGCCATTTGCCCGTTCGGTATATATCGTTCAACAATTTGGTCAGTTTCTTTAATCCGTTGTTGTCCAGCTCTTTCAGCAGGTCCGCCGGTATGTCGTCATCTCCCGTTGCTTTATTTCTTCTCATATCATTTATTGCTCTCTCGACTTCGCTTTTAAATATGCATGGTATCTTATCGTCTTCGCCCACTTTTTCTCTTATTCGATCTCAATATTATCAGAACGATTTTCTCTATTGCACTGTTTCTCAATGTATTTTTCCCACACCCTGAGAATTTCCTTTCTTGAGAATTTTTTTTTGGTCAGTTACTCTATTTCCACTATCGTCTTCCATTTAGTATGTTTTTTCTGCTTTCCTTTCAGTCGAATACATTTCCTTTGTAGCGTCGTATACGATTTAATATAAAACATTAAAACGTACCTATCTTGTTTTTGATGTTCTATTATCCTGTTGCACGCTTCGTCCATGTATTTCAACTTTGCCTTATCCGTTTCTCGCCTTAATTTACTATTCAATTTTCTACATATCTTCGGATGTGTATCTTATACTTTCTGTGCTAATCCATTTTCTTTATCATCTCCTAATTATCCACGGCTCCTTGCTACTTATTCTAGCTTTCCGACGTTGTCCTCCAGCGTACACTTTTTACCTTATTCCAAAATTTTATATTGCATCTTCTCTATCTTCCATTACGTAGAATTTTGTCTCCATTTCTCTCCTCAGTTCGACTCCTCAAATTTTCCAGATTCCATCTCTGTCTCCTTTTACCCGCTTTGCGGATATTTTTCAGTTTTATCTCTATATCGGTCTCTGGAAAAGTCTTAACGTCTTTCACGTTATTTCTGAATCTGTTTTTGGCGATGATGTAGTGAGTTTGATATCGCTTGCTGTTTGCCGGGCTTTTTTCCAAGTATACAGCTTTGTCTGCGGCTTTTTAAACCACGTGTTTGTGATCATGAAATTGTTTCTTTTCTGCGGCAGAAGTCAATCAGCATATTTCCCTTGCCGTTCCTTCTGCCTAATCCGTATTTGCTAACAATCTTTTAATCGGATCCCTTTCCGACTATTGCATTAAAACCTCTGATGATCACCACGTTGACCTTTATTTTGCCTTTCTGAGACAACATCTCGTCTATTTGCTCGTAGATTTGCTCCACCTCCGCCTCGTCCTGGCTCGATGTCGGCATGTACCACCAGCACAACCTTGTTCTTTACCATGACTTTACCTCTCTCAAATTTGTCTCCTCCGGAGTTATACATTATGAAACCGTCCGATTCGGTTTCACCCTATCCTTGCCACCTTACCTCGCTCAGTCTCACGACGTCAGCTCTGCACCTGGCTATTTCCCTTTTGAGGTTCTCCAGTTTTCCTGACCTTATTATTGTCCTGACGTTCCACGATGCTAAACTGAAAGGCAAATCGACCGCAGTTTTGTTGCTACTTTCGATACTTCCTCCATAACCACCATCCGGAGATCCGGAATAATTACTCCAGAATATTTTACAGAAGAGCAAGACGTCATTGGAACCATTTTCCTTACTCAATATTAGTTAATACTGGTGCTTCTCCGTCTCTTCCATAAGCATACATATTGTTATTTGTCTGCGAAGGATTGACATTGGATAATAAAAATCGGACCAGCGATCCACCTTGTTTGGTAGCAATATAACGAGGCACCTCGCTCAATCCCACGACGTCCACTCTGCACCTGGCTATTTCCCTTTTGAGGTTCTCCAGTTTTCCTGCACTTATCATTGTCCTGACGTTCCACGATGCTAACCTTAAAGGCGAATCGACCGCAGTTTTGTTGCTACTTTCGATGGCTTTTTCCTTCATAACCACCATCCGGAGATCCGGAGGTAATTACTCCAGAATATTTTACAGAAGAGCAAGACGTCATTCGAACCATTTTCCTTATTGTCAATATTAATCCTGGTGCTTCTCCGTCTCTTTCATAAGCATACATATTGTTATTTGTCTGCGAGGGATCGACCTTGGATAATAAAAATCGGACCTGTGATCCACCTTGTTGAATAGCAATATAACGAGGCACCGAAAAAGCCTGTTAATGAAATTTCTTGAGCATCATCTACTAGGAGCTAGCAAAATTGTTTGAAATTTTCATACTCAAGCATATCTTGATATCGCAAAGCTATCCATTGAGCTATAATCTCTCCATGAAAGTTCAAAATTTGGTAAAACGTATCCGTAAGTAAGATTATATCTGTGTCCAATAAAACTGGTTTTGAGGTTTTGAAAAACAGCACTAAAATTTGATATACCTTTACCGCATCAGCCCAATTGTTAGCAATCGTGGTTACTCTAACTCTCCTTTACCCACTGGCATGCTGTTAATGAGTTATCAACTGTATGCAACCTCTTCGGCGTTGAGGCATAGACGCAGCATGTGATTAACAACCTCAAAAAATTATCCCATTGTACTATTGGGACCTAGTGCACACATTTTGCATTGAATTGTCCCGCCCATTCCAATTTCAGAATCATATTTTCGCACATCGTTCTTTTTTCTGTGACAATCGAATGACGACGTGCATACCACGTCGTCGGCGATTCTGTGAGAGGATTTAACTTCTAAAGCACCTCCAAATGCCATTATTTTAAGTTCACCTTTCTCATGTACACTGAATATGTCTTCCAGTGGAGTTGCGGCACTGTTTCGTTTCCATGAGCCTTATTTGATCCAGCGCATAAGAATAAATGTCTATACAATCCATTTATTACAGCCCCCAAAGCCAAAGCATCATAATGTTTAGTAGCTTTCTAAGTGAATTTGGCTGCAAAGTGCAAGTCGTGATGAGAACGAATTAGTGAACGTAAATCATCAAGATGGGTAGTCAGATATTTTATGCAGTTTAGATCCAACATACAATGAAGCAATATTTACAACACTGCGTGTCAAAAATAACAATTTTATTTTTATACCATCCGAACTATCCTAATTAGTCATTGCGACTTTGATTATTGCAGTTTAACAAATAATGAAGAGTTTTATTTGCTGTTTTCGGTATGGCTTCGACTCTAAGACGCTGTGTGCATAATGCATAAAGTCAAGCTGCATAAAGACATCCAGTATCTCAACCACTTCAAACATGAATTGCGCAAACAAAATAAAACATGGTACTTATGTGAAAAAATTTCGCAGTATGTTTACTTTACTATCCAGAAGGAAAAAGAATATAATTTTGATACTCGCGTCATTTAGAAAATATCTCAGAATCACCACGACGATTGTTTTTTCTGTGTGGTAAATACCAATGTAATAAATTTAGGCAACAGAACCTAATAGTCATGAACCACAACCCCAATGGTATTCAAGTCTACTTATGATCAACTACACGACCCCTATCCATGATAATGATGAACAACCGTCTACCATGTAATGGATTTAGAGACCAACGTTAAAAGAGAAGACATGAAGAGTTAAAAACTGTATATTTGATACAGTTCAAATCAATTATAATTGATTATAATTTATTACCCGCACTCTCATTTAGAATTTGGATAATCATGGAAATGTTAGCAAAGAGCAGGACGAGAGGATCTACTAAGACATCAGGACTTTGGAGAAGCGTTATCAAGAAATCCGGGATGTCCGCATCATGGCTGGCAATTGTTGAAGCTTACGACAAAATCAGTTGGTCTTTGTCATGTCTTTGTCTACGCTCGAAAATCATTTAAAAAAGTTTTGAAGGCATAAAATAAAATATATTTTGTTTTATTGTAATTTGAGGTAAAACTAACACATTGGTAGTATATTAGACCAGTCATTACAGTAAGTTCATCTCGGAATTCGAGATGACGAGCTGTTCTAGTTTTTGAGATATAGTCCAGTCATTTAAGCTTAAATTAGTTAAAAATCTCGGAACTAGAGATACCCAGCTGTAAGTCTGTAAATACTGTATTATACTGACACCCACACACTACCATATGTAGGTTTTGAGACAACTTTTAGGGTGTCAATATACAGTATTTACAGACTTACAGATGGGTATCTCGAGTTCCGAGATTTTTAACTAATTTAAGCTTAAATGACTGGACTATATCTCAAAAACTAGAACTGTTAGCAAATTTCTGTTACTGTTTTCGGAATCAGCGTCTGCGAATTACTTAAAAACGATCACAGCATCTCAGAACAAAAAATTAGTGTCACGTAGTGCAATTTATACATAATCATTGCAATTCATAAAATAAACTTGTTTGAAAACGGTTTTAATTTCATATTTAAACAGTATTATATAGTATATATTAAATATATAATAAAAATTTCAATATAAATGGTATTATAATTAACATATTTTATATAAGACAAAATTATCGAAATAAAGGAATCTCACACAATATTTCTGCTCAATCATTTGATTGGCTACGCCTACCACCCAATTAAAATGAATTTTTACTTGACAGATAAAAAAAGCGGTCCAGTGTCTTTGCGGCCGTTAGTCTGTTCTTGAAATAACGATATAGCAGCGTCATTTGTTCGCGATTTGAATCCGCATAATATAAAGTTCCAAGATGAGCCAAGAGGACAAAGACAATTATCGTAAAGTTGATGAACGAGGTTTTGGGCGAGAACCCACAAAAGTGAAATATGAAGATGATGAAAACGATGTAATACCAGTAAAGATTCCGCGCAATGCATCGTTTGTTCCCCTGTCAAGAGAAGCTTCCATTGCCAATGGCGAATGTGGAACTAGTCAACAATTAAGAAGTTCAGTAATAGCCGCAAATTACAACCTTCCACTGGAGCAATTAGGAATCCATTCGTCCGGCGTACTTCGCCAAGAATTTGAATGCACTGTGAGGATTGGAAGTCAGGAATTGAAACTTACAAGTACAAATTGCTGTAAGCTATTGGAAGCCAAATTTCACCTGGATGAATTTTTCAAGCACGATCAGTAGTGATACTAAAACAGTTTTGTTATTTAGTAAAGCACCATCTAAGAAAAAAATATTTCAACCAAATCGTCAGAATTTTAAGTAGCTGACGATGTAAATATATTGTTACAAAACATTTTGATTCTTATAATAAATATTGAAATTTTTTAAATGCATATTCTTTTATTTATTCTGTTTTATACTATTCTGATAAATGTGCATAACCTGAACACTCGCTAGAAGCAAGTCAACTTAATATGAATCGATTCATTTAATTAGGCAGTATAAATAGTATACTTCAATATTTCTATTTATAATTTGAGTTAAATTTGAAGAACTTCAATATTACAATTCTCAATTACTGAATATAATATATTTGCAATTGTTTTCAACTAACCCTTTTGCTACAGTAGTGTTTTCCGCAGCAATGACACTGCCATAGATAAATAAAGTGCTGTACGATGCACTTTAAGATTTTTTATTTGCAATAAAAATATTAGATATATCAAGATTAAAAGATACATTTTCAAAGAACTAAAAATTACAGTAACAAACTAGATTTCTCAGAGCAAGGGTTGACAAAATAGATGTCGTGTATAGGATTCTGAATTTGCATTTTTTCTTGAAATTGGTCCATAATGTCAATTGTAGTGGTCAAACATCTATTTACAAAAACCATTGGAAATTCATTATGCTTTTCTTCAATATCAAAACTATCAATATTTTTGTTTTCTCCTTGCTTAGTTAATGCTTCAGATCAGAAATACTATTTGTGTTTTCAAGTACATCTTTCACGTTCACCTCATATAAACTGTTTTCACTAATTCTTTTATTTCCACCCACATTCCAGACAGAAAACAAAACACTGTACTAAAACAACACTAAACACAATAGCATTAAACACGGTATTATATTTATATAAACATAATAATATATATTTTAGATGGTTGACTCTTGGATTTATCTACACATCGTTAGAATGTTATCATATATTTATAGTAAAAACATAAAAACCTAAAAATAACATATAACATCAAGCACATTTCACTCACATTTAGTTCAAAAATTTGAATTGATCGAAAGTAAAATGCACTAGCAAAAATCATTTTTAGGTTATTGCTTTCTTGACTTGAAATTTTTCACTAATAAAATTATCGGGTAATTACCATTTCACAATCCTGCCCCAACATTTGATGAAACTTGCCAACACACTTTAGTACATTTTTCTTAAAGGAGAACCTTCCAAAGCTCACCAATTTAAAAAATAATAAATTCATAGTTCAATAAAAAGTCCTAATTCTTGAGAACCCGGGGCAATTATGTTATTAATTTTAACCGTGATCTTAGAAATTTTATTCACAGTTACAGTTACAAGGTTTAAATGAACAAAATTAATAAAAAAATAACCACAGCAACCGAAAACTGATCATAATTATACCTCTAGGTTGCACAAAGCAAAAGCTCATAACTTCCAAACTTTTTTTTTCTAAATTTTTTTCAGAACAGTTAAGATCAATATTATCATCCTGTTTCGGCTTAACATAATTTAAGGTATGTGACACGCCATATACATATATATTATACATATATTAAAATAAATCCGGAATATTATATTCCAAATAAAATTGAAATATTTCCCATTGAAGACATGCAAATACCTCCAAAAGTAATAATTAAAATATATTTATCTTTGTCTTATTTGATTTATTATATTTCAGACCAGTATTTTTACTCATATACAGTTCTTTTATGTAAGAGAGCTTCATTTGAACTTTTACCTACATTGTTTAATTCTTTAATGATGTCCAGTTTCTTTTTTCCTAAATAATTTTTATCCTCATGATTTTTTCTTCTTAAATTTTCAATTTTTTTATCTTTGAATCCATTATGCCTTATAGTCGAGGCCAAGGTATTTTTAAGAAACCGTTTATTTGTCTTATATAAAGGGCATTTTAGCCATCCTGTTGGTCCAGCTACTTCAGCTCTGATAGCACCTGATATAGCTTCTCTTAAAAGTTCTTCTTCAGCTAATCTAAAATAATTTTAAAGATTAGTTTAACTGTACCTTTTAAAATCGTTCATCATGATACAAGATATTGCATTACATGAACTACAAATTACTAAAGCAAAGAAGTAGAGCAAAGCATAATTCATAAAAAGAAACTATTTCTTCTGAAAATTAATCAGGTATTCTAGAAAATTTATAAGTTAAAAAAAATATAAACAATTTAAGATGGCAAACCCCATGTGGAATATTGAGGAGAACAATATGAAAACTGATATTGAAAAAATTGTAATATGATGGAATGACATTAAGATGAGTAGTCAAGTAATAACATTCAAAAATTACAAGAAAAATGGTACAATAAAATTATAAAGCATAATTTATCGCTAGGTATAAAGAATAAATTATTTACATAAAGTAGAAAAAAACTATATCTGGATGTATTGGTAACAAAACAGCTCAGAACATGCATATGCTATTGAAATAAAGAAATATGTACAAACATGAATAAAAACTTAAACTAGTTGAAAGTAGCATTTTGCCTTGCATGAACTTCCCGATACTTATACATAACTTAAGTTTACAACTTAATCAATAAGAATTGAGATTCAGCTATTTAGGTAAAATGTTCAAATGTTAAAAAATATACATTTCGCTTTCATTAAAAACGGTTTTCATTTGATATCTTTGAACAAAATTATAATATTGGCAATTGTATAAATTAAATTTGTTCCACACATTTTATTTCAATCTTTTCGTATTTTGAAAATGTATTTTATTAAAGTAACTGTAATCATTAAACACCAGCAAAACAGCACAGAATGTTCATATGCTTCAATAGAATTTCTGATTAGAATGACATGAGTGTGCAACAAAATTCTCAATTCTAATATAATTCAAGTTATGAGAAAAGTGCAAATTAATACATAAGATTACACATAACAAAATCAAAATATGCACATCGATAACTATAAATAAGAAAATACATGAACACAATGCTAGCCAACAGGAAATGTATCATCTAAAACAAATAAAACCAGGCGGAACACTATATGGAGTGCTATAAAATTATTTAATGGGCTTCCGAAAGAAATAACAATGATCAAAGAAGAGAATCAATTAAAAATTAAGTTAAAAGAATATTATAAAAAAATCTAGATAAATAAATTAGACCAAAGCATGAATGTAAGAATGAATATGAGTATGATTGAATTATAGAATAAATGATAAAATGTTGTAATGACCATATCATATGTAGAAAATATATATATATATATATATATATATATATATATTAATTTGGAAATATGAACAAACAACATATACATATATATATATATATATATATATATATATATATATATATATATATATATATATACTTTGTATAGATATTTTGTACGATCTCTCATACCATGCACTTCTGCCTGTCTGAGATGTATGAAATTTATATTAAAATTCAAATAAAATAATAAAGATAAAAAAACGCTTATCGCAGGCCTATAATATTTTCGTATGATATTTCAGACTATAAGATATATGATTGTACAAAACTTCATCAAAATCGTCAAACTAATCAACCTGATTCTCAACCAATATCTTACAAATAGTTTTGGAGTTTTTAAAATCAAAATTGTGGACAAAATTTTCACACTGATTACAAAGAAGCGGCTCGGACGACCATCGCCCGAAACTAAATGATGATTATCCTTATCGAGATACAGTAGAACCTCGATTATCCGGACTAATTGTTGTCGATAGACATCCGGATAATCGAAAATCCGGATAATCCAAATTATGAAGAATAATGTTTTGTTTATCAAAAATAACAAATACATACATAGATATCAACAAAAATCGATGTTTATTAGAAAATTAACACTTACATATTTTTTTACAATTAGATTACATTATACATATAATATTAATCATGAGGTAAAATATTCAGGTGGTACGTAAAGTATCAATGAAGAAGAAAAGTTGCTTACGAATAATTTATTGATCGTTTTTGTAAAATATCGCTTATAGTGGATGTACCTACACCATACCTATCCAATGTCTTTTCTTTTCCAACATCGACTCTGTTAACTGTATCGTCTTTGGGTTTTTCGGTTATTTCTATATTTGTATTGCCTTTAGTTTTTTTCTTTTTTTCTAACCTATTTTTTCTAATTTTGTTCATTATCTGTGACGACATTGTAACAAAGGAGTAATGAAATTATATTTCAGAGAGCAAAATCATAAATTCTCCGTACACATTTTTCAAAATTTATGGGATTTGTTTGTTATAAAAATATAAGGACATCAGATAGAAACTGACAGCCATTATTATATTGCCTAAGGTCTAGAAGGCTGACAGCTTCATTAACATGGACTATGTATTGGTCGGGGATAAGGATCACGTCTTGACAAGATAAATAAACATATAAGAAATCCATATATAATAGGTAATCCAAGATAATATGATATAGGTTGCCAAACCTGTGTGCTCTTAACCGCGCAATACGAAATTTGAAAATCACCGAGGGCGCATATCTTACAGATAATTAACTGTAAATTGGTAAATTGGTTGGATTATAATCAATTGATATAAACATATAAGCAACCCGGTTACCGGAAACAGTCAAGTTTTTGAAAAAACTCAGCAAAATAATCAAGAAAATAATTTTATCTAATTTATTTATTATGGAGCAAACATAGTAATTTAAATTTTTGTATTTAATTAAGTTTTAATTGCAATATTGTGTTTAAACTGTTTAAAATTTATTTAATTCAGTATTTTGGCTATATTTGTACAAAATTTTAATTGTTTAAATTTTAAAATTATAAATTGAGCTATTATATATCGCATTTATCTAATTTAAATATTACTTATAAAATTGAATAATTTAAAAAATTTATTTGTACCTCTCCACTGTGAACTAAAAGATTCCTTTGTTTTAAAATTTCAATATTAGGATTGGATTCAACATCCAATATCAGTATAAAAAGTATTTAAAAAGGAATATTAAATTAATAATTTTTAAAGCTTAAAGCCTTTTAGAGAGAGATTTAAGTTCATAAATATATATGAGTACACCTAAGTCTGTTTTTACACGGTCTTTTTGTACACGGTTTTGATATAACACGGTTTGAAAATTGAATATTTTCAATTTTTTTACACGATTTTATTCCATTTAGCACGATTGGAAATTTTATGTACTTAAATTTTTTTGTCAAATTTAATTTTCTGCGATGTATGTTCATATCACAAAAAAGTATTTATGAAAGAAAAAAGTCTGAAACCATCAATAGTATCGATAGTTTGCGAACACTAGCTTAAAGATTTAAGTGAATTCCCCTTTAGCGCGTACAAACAATTTTTACTGGTCAAAGCAAATGTGAATAGCACTAATTTAGGGGAATTATTATTAAAATAAACATGAATTCTTGTTCTTGAAAATTCTTGTTTTTCACTAATTTTAATAGGTTTTAGAGAGTAGGACAAATCACCCATTTTTGTATAAGATCAATGTCTTTTTTACACGTTTTTTTTTTTTACACGGTTTCTTCTGGTGTATATTAAAAAATGTGAATAGAATAGAAATGTTAATAGAATTTTGTTGAAATTTTATTTATTTTATAAAATACATTAGTTTGTATTGACATATAAGATCAGAATTTTTATAATATATCATGCACTTATATAAAAATATCAATGTATAAAATTTTCATGTCTACAGTTCAATTCGAAATAAAGCAACATGTTAAAAAACAAATTTTTGCTTATATAAATTGCGACATTTTTTAAAAATAAGTATTACATAAAAATGGAAAAACTAATTTGATTATTTTTGTATTCTTGCCATTCTTAATGATTTATTATTTTTATGACAATGATACAATCTTTGTTTCTTAAGCCTTTGGTATTTATAATTGTAATATTGGTTTATTTTTATATATTTATATTTATATATGTTTGTGAACATATGTAATATTATATCTATTCATTATTTCTATTAATAAACTTATTATTAGTTTTTACATATATAGTATTATAGAAATATATTTAAGATTAAAAACTGCCCCATGCAGAGAATTATTTACTAATATCTTGATATTATTACTCACAATTTAATTCTTAAATCTTTAGTTACCATTTGATTTAATTAAAATATGAATTATCAGCTACCATATATGAATTTAAATATATGTAGATAGTGAATCAAAGACTTTACATATAATATAAGATTTATGTTAATTAACACATACTGTCCTGAAAAATCAGATTTATATTAAAAAGAAATTGATAAATTTATTACCGCATTATTCACTTCTACAAAATTTAAAGACTAGAACTTCATTTTGCGTCCACTAAATATAATATATTTGTAATCAAGATATAAATATGTTTATTGGAGTTAATGAATATAATAGCATCTTTTAAGATTAAAATCACACCCACACACATACCATTATAATATATAAATGCTAATTGCGAAATATGGAAGCTCATGAAAGTTAGTAGCACATTCACAATGAATTGCACACAATTTAAAATTTGTTACAATATAGCAAAAAATATAACATTGTTATATTTATTTATCATGATTATATTCCACTATTAATAAATTTTAGAAATATTTATCAAATTTTTTTTTGTATATCACTATAAAAAAAACTTCTATAAGTGCAGCTCAAATAAAAAATATATGAATTTAAAAAAAAAATTAAAATACAGTAAAAAAATAAGCAATAACATGGATGGACCACAAACACCAGCAGTTTTATTATTAAAAACATCTCGCATTCTGTAAATCTGCAATAAGTATCAGTCACTCTGATATAGTCCGATAATAGCTATATAATGGTTAAAAAGTGTCTATTCAAAATAAATGTATATTACATCTGAATTCAAGTAAAAGAATATTATACAAGTTAAAAAATTTCTGCCTCTATTCAAATTCAACTTCTATACATTGTAATATATAGGTTGTGCAAAGTGAAATATATATGATATTTTAAAAATAAACCATTTCAATTTTAATATTTATTATAATAAACTATATTTTTTGCATTACCTTTTTAGTCATATAGTCTTCTTTTTTAGTCATATATATAAAGATAGATAGATTGCCAAATAATACTGTAAGATTTATAAAATTACTCATACATTAGCTATTGAAATAGCAAGGTTTTAAAAACTAACGTAAGTAAACAAATACATAATCACAATGTCTTACACCCATTAGTCGAAGTTATATACAAATTGAGTCCAAATGAAATTTTAAAATAATAAATTAATTTGCCAAATAAAAATTAAATTATTGATTGCAGCTTTTATTAGGATGTTTCAATATATATTGAACAAGGACAAAGCTTAGCTTTAGAAAAATGTTGTTAATCATTTTATTGTCTGAATTTTAGCAATGAGAATCTAACCAAATAACAGTCTCTTATTATTAAGAGAAGTCATTTTGTTTAGAAAAAAACTACACGCCAGCGTTTACTAAAGACATCAAAATAAGTTTCAATGTGCATTTGCAATAAATATGTAACCTCAAGTTTTTTTGTTTTATTAAATGTCCGGGTTATCCAATTATCCTCTAATAGAAACACATACGTAAATTCCTATAATAGAGTAAAATTGAAAGTCTAATAATTTTGACATCATTTTAACGAGAATTATTATTATTGGCTGGCGATTTGGGTAAGCTAACAGAGTTTAGCTTTGAAGCAGTAACAATATCACGTTTGCGTCGTCCAGCGCCTCGACGTCCAATATGCAGTTGCACTTGTCCAGCTCTGATTGCTTTGAACATAGCTATAGCCTCTGCATGGCTACAACCGTGCAACGGTTGACCATTTACAGCCAAAATTTCATCACCTGGAAGATAAAACATGGATTAAATAAATTTGTAATTTTTAATATATATATATATATATATATATATATATATATATATATATGGCATTTTTTTTCATTTTTGTTATTGGATCTTTAAATCCTTATATATAATATAATATATACTAGTTGATCTAGCCATTATAAGACATATGCACGTCAAATTATCACATATTTTATGGATATTTTAATAATAAGAACAAATTTTGATTACTTTTGTATGGGTTCCGTAAGGTCATTTTTTTCAAAAATTTTAAAAATCTCAAAAATCGATTTTTTTCAGAGTTCTAAAAGAAAATTGAACTTTTTTAAATTTTTAATTATTGGTACGGGCAGTTCCAGCAATTTACCTTGAAGCACGTTGCCATGCACCACTAGTTATTTATTGTTTTATTGTTTGTAATTTAGTACATTAGCCATTCGCGTACAATTATACTTAAATCTAATATACGTTACATCAAATGGATAAAACATAACTGACCATAAAATTTATTAAGGTTAATATCAAAATTGAATCAGTATATTTCTGCATGCAAAACTTATTTTCAGGCGTCAATCAATTTGCTTAGTTTTCAACCTAAACCAAATAATTAAGGGACTTGTGACGAATTACAATTCAATATTGTTATGATTTTATTTGCCATTTATATGATGACATAAGTATTCATTATTATTAAACGGTTTCTTCTAGACTTCTAGATTCCAATATAATTTAAATAATAATTATAATTACCTTCTTTTACACTTCCAGAATCCGCTGCTTGACCATTGGGGAAAATAGTTTTGACATAAATTCCCATTGAACCTTTCGGAGAATCTCTCCCGCCCACAATACTAAATCCTAATCCTTTGTGACCGGGTCCTTTTGTAAATATTGCCTAAAAAATTGAAATATTTAAAAATTCAACAAATGTAGATTTATTTCATCAGCAGAATTGAAAATGTGAAAACGACTTCTGATACCATACTTTTACTAAATATATGAAAGAAATATATTATTTAGTCACAAGTACGTAGTGCAGAATACCCATGTTTTTATGGCTGTTGCTATGTATCCCCAACAAATATTTTTTTATATATGTAGTATAAAAACAAATAAAGCCATGTGATCTAGCGATAAAATAAAATGGTGCACTTTGTCATCCATAATTGATAGTTTTTCTTTTTTTCATACTTATGTTCTGATTAAAAGATAAAGTAGACAGGCAAAATACCAAATAAAGAAAAAGAAAAGAAAACTAGTTCCTAGTACACAAATAAAACAAGTAAAATGGAAGCGTAAAAGGATTAGGAAGGAGAGGAATGCAGATGATTGACGACTTACGTGAGAAGAAAATATACAGGAAACTGAAAGCCGAAGCGCAAGACCAGGAAGCATAAAAGCAGAAGTTTGTTCAAAAGAAAAATGTGTAAGAAAACGAAGGGGTAATGGAAATGATAGACGGAAGGGTAATAGTGGTAATGGAAATTATAGACGAGGAAGGGTGAGGAAATCATTGATTTGTGGTGGCTCTCACACCATGGACCTGCCTTCGGACAGACTAACATTTATTATAATTATTATTATGGTTTGATTTCTGTAACCAGAAATTTTGCCCTATGAGCTGTTGAACTGAAACTTCTCACGACGTATTTTTAGATGGTAACCCTATTGATAAACCATCCATATTTGATTATTTATTATTATCTAAATTCATCTTATAGGGTAGATATATTATTCAATTTGATACAGACACGTCCAAGAAAAGCTATTTTCACTTGAAAACATAGCTAATAAATAGTCGTGTGCAAAAAGAAAATTATTTTATTCGTTCAAATTTTATTGTATATTGTAGAGGACAAAAGTCTTCTTTGAGCAGCTTATTATACACATAAGTAATATAAATACTCCGTATTATTAATTTGTGAGCGCACCTGTTTTATGGTGAATGTCCCTCTCGCAGCTGGTCCATTGCGCGGCAACGTGCAAAATTTACTCTCTTCTGCTTCTTCCACTGTTTCGTCTTCTTCCTCGATTTCTTCCAAATCGAGAGAATCGTCGTGGCTTGCCTGAAAGAAAAATAATTTAAAATAATGTTTTATATTGTTTTTTGAATAAGTCAAAAAAATATGTATCTCTTATTCAAATAAGTACATACTTTAGTATGTACTTATGTAAGCAAATTAAACTCCAACTCGATTCAGGGAAGAATAGTGTGAGAGGTTTGCCATTGCCATTTCACACCGCAGTGCCCGAAAAGAATTATTTTCAATTGAAAAAACATTTTTGATATGAAACGTGAAATTTGAAACATATTTGCAAGTGAAAACGGACGTCGCTACTGCACGATGTCAAGTTGTCCAGAGCGGGGTTCGAACTTACGACCCCATCCATACAAGTCCGTGTATTTAACTGTTACGCCATGGAATACCCTTATTTTAAAGTATTTTAAATCATGAATGATGTTCAGAAATAAAAAGTTGGTAACTATAGTAAACCATCTCAAAAATCGGGGCAAACTGAGATACGGTGAGGACATAATGAGTTTTTCACTAGATGTTGTTATCAGACTGAAACAAATAAAATATTTTTATCTTCTGCTAAATAACAGCAAAAAATCTGCTATACCTCTGAAGTTGTTTCACGAGTAACGAAAACCCAGAGTGGACTATAGAGCTTTAGAAAATGAAAAAATGTAGTAAAACGCTACATTTAGACTAAAATATGTCAAAAAGCTATGTGGATCCTGTGCAGTCAGGTGTTTTGGATATAAAACTTACCTAGAAATCGCACAAACATCAAAAAAGAATCTTATCATAAGTGCATCTTTCTGTGTCATAATAATACATGCGAAAAGTTAGATTTTATGTGTAAAACGCCTGATAGCACAGGAAATACATAGCATTTTGTCAGTTTTTAGTACCGTTTTATTTGAAACCCGCAGCTTTAGTATGTTGCGATAACATTAGTCTATTTTACAGCAGAATTGGCTGGTAAGAGTCCTATAAACTGTTTTGCTGAATTGACTTAATACTATATCCGTTTTACAGATTTCAACTCAAACAGTTGTCTCATCATGAAGAATAAATTACAATTTATGTAATAGGGTGAATATTTATTGATGCAGCAATGCCGGATTAGGGCTATTTTCACTTAGAAACATATTACTATTTATATTCCGAAGTAAAAATTGTCTTACTGCTCCTTAACAACAGGTTGCTCGAAGCGAAATCGAACCTGGAACCTCTGTTTCAGGTTCAGTCGTTCTAGCCACACACTTACCTATGAGCAACCCCATAGGTAAAGATGATTAATTATTTAAACGTTAATTTCTTTACATAATGTATACTTGTTTGTGGTGTAAAACGATTCAGAATGGTATAACATTGGCATATAAGAGAACACAAAATTGGCAAATCAAATTTTCTGGCGAAACATAAAACCCTTCTATAAAATAATGATTTATGTTAATGGAAGTAAAATTCTTAATCAAATAGACAAAATTAAAATATCCATAGGAAGATATACCTCAGAAAAAATTGATGTGTGTGTATGTATGCATGGGAACTATTTTTCGTTCACGTTTTCGGGCGCACGGATCAACCGATTTGAATGATTCAAACAACATTCGATTCTTATTGATAGGGAGATGTGCTGATTAGTTTTTGGCAAAGGCAGATTGGCCGTTTCGGAGATACGGAGCAAAAAGTGCAGAAAATATAAATAGAGTTTTTGAAAGAACGGAGCATCCGATTTGAATGATTCAAAAAACTTTTGGCTTGTTTTGAGAAAAAAATTGCTTTTGGGAAAAAAATTGTTTCAAAACAGTAGATAATTCATTACTTAAGAATGAATTTATTTCCACAATGTAAAACTGTTTCTTATCTCAAGACTGCGGTGTAATATTTTGACCAGCTGTCGAGTAATCCTTAGCCGAGTCGTTTTGTATTCTTGTTCAGCGTATTATTATTATTATTGAGTGAGAAATCGCGGCGGCATCGTTACAGATTAAAAGCGAACTCTGAGTAGGTGTGAGCAGCGCGCATTGGATGTGTTATAACACATAAACGGAGGCGTTCGAACATGGCACTTTTGCATTATTGCAAAAGCTGGCCATGAGTGACAAAGTAAAGCGTTACACATGTCGATTTTCAATCGACGTCCGATTTAAGAATAACAACAACGTTTGGCAACATTACATTTATTATAATCATTAGAATATTGTTATAATTTATCTATTGAATGGAAAATCAACTATTGAGTAGTTAACTTCCCTTTCCCTTATATCATAATAAATAACACAACACATATCAAATAATTAACTATCTGACTAGTTTTAGTAAAAATCCCAGATTCATTACTCTAGAAATGTTTTTTTTGCTGTTCTTAAAATTTTGTAACCTGGTCCTTTTTACCCCATAGGCGGGGTAAATTGGGACATCCAGGGAGCAAACAGGTCCAATGTTTCATTTTAATTCCAAAGCGTGCTTACAAAATAATAGCTACATTATTTAACCACTGCAAAATATAAATTTCATGGGTGCATTTTTTACTGGTATTTCTGGTATTTAATCAGAAACATTTATCATCAGAGTTGAAATTACCACATATTTAATTTTTCTCTTGTAAAATTGCTTAAATTTAACTTAATTTACTTTTTACTTCCTATTTTTTAATTAATTTTTTTTACTTGACAGGATTTAGTTGGTCCCTTCTACCCCACTCAGGTGTAAGTTTTTATAGAGGTTATATAAAAAACTGTTGAATGTAACTTAAAATTAATAATACATCTTATGAAACAATTAAATAACGTATACTTAAAAAATATATTAAGTTTTGGAAAACAACAAAGCAACAGTGCTCATAATCAAAACAAATAACAACGCAAGAAAATACTTTTGTTATGGATTTTTAAACATTGCTGTTTTTCTCCAGATAGCAACGTCGTAAGAATCAAGGTGATGGCTGGTTATATATTTTTTTCCTTCTACTTTCCAATTTTGCTGTTAAAAAATTCTTAATTTTATTGGTGTTTGAGATATTGGTGGTAAACCTTTTTACCTGCGGACCTTTAGACCCGCTTAAAATTTTCCCACAATTCGATGATACATAACTGAGAAATCAATTATTGATTCTTCAGCATTTATTATCCATTTTCACTCAAAATATGAATTATAAATATGTTTCTAAGTAGAAATAGCCTTTCAGGGCGTTGTAATAAAAGTTTATAAAACTAGTGGTGTATGACATCGTGCCTTAGTGCAAATTGCTGGAACTTCCCGTAACGTAACGAAATGTTCGTGGAATATTAAATGTTTTCAAATAGATTATTATAAATACTCTAATATTGTCTAATATTTATAAGAATTATATAAACTAAATTAAAATGTTATAATTATTTATTTAGAGTATATAAGTGATCTTTAGAACTTTAGTCAGAATTAAAATTAAAATCTGAATTATTTTCGATATACAAATAAAATTGAAAAAAAAATTGTAATATTTTTTTTCTAAAAGCAATTATTTTGTCAAAACAAGCAGAAAGTTTTTTGAATCATTCATATCGGATGCTTAGTTATCTCAAAAACTACCATTTTTTGCACATTTAGCTCGGTATTTCCGAAACAGCTGGACCTGCCTTTGCCAAAAACTAATCAGCACATCTCCCTATCAATAAAAATCGAATGTTTTTTGAAACATCCAAATCGGGTGATTCGTGCGCCCGAAAACGTGGACTAAAAATGCGTTCATACAAAACACACACACATCTATTTTTTCTGAGGTATGCCAAAATGTTCAAAAACCTCTGAAACGTGAAGATATGCAAAAATTTTCATTTTCGATTTTCGGCCGATTACTATAACTTACCCTACGGGAAGTTAAAATTACTAATATGAATCACTTCAAAATATAATCACAACTAGGAAGGATAATATCCATATGCAGAACCTAAAAAAACAATTACGAAATGTCTTCATGATATGAACTGATTGTAATTCATATGAATATAAAAAAATGTCAAAAATTTTGTGAAAGCCAACAGAAAATACTTCCTGGTGTTAAATGAGCAGCGCGCCTTTCTATGACATACTGTAAGCTAAGTATGCTGATTTTTTTCTTTATTCATAAATATGGAATAAAATATATTGCGCGTTCATTACTTTTAATATTTGATTTAGTTATGTTAAAAACGAAAATAAATAGAATACTTAAGACATTGGTATTGTAGTCGTTTGCGTGCTCCTGTCCATTGCTCGGATAATTACTTAAACTTTGTAACATTCTATAAAACCTATTATATAATAGTACGTCCGCTTAATTTCGCAATCGTGTCGAATTAACCTCCAGAAACAGCACTATGTGTGTTATTACATGTTAGCAATGAAAAGCTCCAACAAACGCGTGTCGAGATATTGTCCGATAAGTATCGCAAATCATGCACACAATTTGTGCTCCTTGAAATGCTGAAAATCCGCTCTCGTGGGCGTTCGGCTATTTGTCAATTGAGAATGATAACGTGCGATTAGACTTTTGCAATAGATCACGGATTTGATCCAGAAAATTATAGCCATGATTACGAACGTCACAATAATGATGATGTATTTTATCCTGCTTTGCTAAAAGTGCGTGAGATAACGCGCATAGAACGCCAGTGGGTAGGTTAACTTATAATTAGAGGTAGAAAGTCAACTGATCAATATAAATCAAACCTGAAAGGTGAAAGATACGCTCACATTCAAAGATTTCGAGATAAAACTGCTAAAAAATAGTTTTGTTATACTTTTAATTAAAATATGTCTAAAACATTCAGTAATTGTTTTGACTTTATTACATAGCTTATGAATGGATGGCAACCCAGTAGTTGTCCAATCCAGTTCTGACTAAGTAACTATACTCAAAGTATTTGTTGACATTTTATTATATGCAGCTATAGCCACGAGAGACAATTTTCATTTGAGATCTATGAACTCAAGTGGAAATTTGACATCATAGCTGCCTGATGTCGGGCTTTAATCGTGGCGGAAATCGAACCAGCGAGAACCCAAGACTAGTACGTGCTAGCCCACGT